CGACTGCTAAGAACTGTTTGCTTTGTTACGGAATGCTGCTGGGTCTGTTTTGAATAGTGACTGGAAGGAGTAGCTTTGGTATCTGGTCTCATTTGGTGTCAAAAAGCATCTGAAGAAGGGCTGCCCAGCTGATTTCTCCCCCTTTTTGAATTCAGGATGAAACTATTTTTTCCTTCTGACAAGATAAGTGAAGGAACAGCTCAATATTATACTTTCCGAGCAAGATGCATCTGCAAAACTCTAGAGACAACCATGTAATTAGCAACTTGACCACGTGTGCCAGGACATCAGCCAACAGATTTGAGAACATTCCATATTTTATCATTTTGCCTTGAAGAATAACCTATGTCCAAAGTATATTTTTGGCCATTCTTTGCAGAGAAATCAATTTTTTTCTCTCCTTTCCTGAAATGTTTGTGTTTACATGTGTTTTGAGGATATTTAGAGGGATAAACATTCATACTTCTATATTACTGACTGTATATGTTGACATAATATTGCATCTTCATTGAATATGTTTTATTTTGGTTATAAACCAATAATTGTGCTTATTTAGAAACCTTGATGATAGATCTTTTTATTTAAAACCTGAATAAAAACAAGGTATTTGATTAGCCATCTCTAACTGGAAATATCTATTTTTATTACGTGCTATGAACCATGGAGTAATGGGACTTGAGCAACAGTGAACTCCTTTAGCTTCATGATAGTACAAGGACTAGAGGACGTAATTTCAATTTTTTTTGGCAGGAAGATTAGAGGGATGTGAGTAAGAACTATCGACATGCCAAGTGGTGATGACTGGAACTCATTGTCTCTGAGAGTGATGGCTGCATTAGTAATGGTCAATGATTTCAAAAGGAAACTGGGTGCTTGAAGGAAATAAACTTGAGGTCTACAGGGATGGAGTAGGGGAATGGAACTGACCGGATTAAAATTTGGAGAGCTGCATGGATTCCATGGGCAGAGTGTCCTCTTTTTGTGCAGTAATGTCTCTCGTTCTAAAGTTAATTGCAGTCATCCAAATAATATATTTTGTGCATTAAATGGTATAATAGTTGGAGCAGCTCCCAAAAAGTTCAGGCCTTTTTCCTTTCTTCTTGATATACGTGTACTGTACTATGCTTACAAGGATAAGCATATTGCTGGGAGCATTCGAGAATGATGGCTAACTGCATTAATATAAACTTCTTCTGTCCTGTGGAGAGGCTCGTACACTACAATGGTGGCCTAGCTGCCGGGCTAATGTTTAAATCCTGAGTTATAAAAGTGGAAGAGAGACCACCCTCCATGCTCTCTTACCCAGAAAAGAAGTTTGCTGATATTTTGCAGCTGGAACATCTTCTGTTGGCCACCTAGATTTAAAAGCCTAGATATTTTTTAATTAACCTGCTCAAAGGTGTTATTACACATTTCTAGAATAAGTAGGACTTGAACCTGGGCAATCCTGGATGAGAAGTAGGGATATAATTGCTGCACCACAAGAGGTCTAGTTTTAAGAGCCTACCACAGCATCCATATTAGGATCGACCATCGGGATCCTGATTGACCATTTTAGGAAACCTCCTGCCAAGTGACTGTTCCCCACAAGGGGCAACTTTCATAGAATCCTTCCAGTGTGGAAACAGGCCCTTCAGCCCAACAAGTCCAGACCGACCCTCAGAGCATGCCACCCAGACCCATCTCCCCATAACCGACCTAATCTACTCATCCCTGAACACTATGGATAATTTAGCATGGCCAATCCACCGAGCCTGCACATCTTTGGACTGTGGGATGAAACCAGAGCACCCAGAGGAAACCCACGCAGACACGGGGAGAATGTGCAAACTCCCCACAGATAGTCTCCCGAGGGTGAAATCGAACCATTTGAGCTTGATGACTGTAGGAAAAACCCTGGCCTGGAGTAAGTATTGCTTTACAAGAGGGATATATTAATCATTTGGACATGCTATCATTGAGGCAATAGTTGCATATTCTAATATAATTCCTTGGTCAATACTGAACGTTATTAAATGTTTAAATTCTTTGTTTCCATTCAGTAACTATAATTACATCATGCCAGGGATATACTCTGCGTGCCATTTATTTGTGTGGTACTTCTTATACTTGGTAAAAACTTAGTTAATGCACAGGACTTCCCTCTGTGAGTGAGAACGGAAACTTAGAACCATTTCTGGGTCACAAACTAACCCCTGGCAGGGGTTGGCGTTTTCAGAGGAGCACCGCTTAATTGAACTGTAGAAAGACTTAGCATCCATTCATCTGCTGTGGAGGTGGGTTAATTCAAGTCTAGGATTGATATAAACTGAACATACCAGCTATTATTTCAGCTATTTCACCATTGGGTCTTCTGCATAGAAGAGCACAGAAGTTTTGAATTAGGAAGCTTCAGTACTGCACTTTCCAAGCTTGTTCTCATGATTTCTTCCTGTGTCTCCCATGTGTCCCATAGATGCAGACTTCAAAAAAATAGTGTAACTCCCATACCATCATTCAGCCAAGTGCATTAGCAACAGAGATCAGAAGAAACACTACTACATGTTACAAGTGCACCCTCCCTCAGGAAAGGTATATTACCTCAGTGGATGCTCGTGTATGGCTGGAATAGAGTAACATTACCGGATAAACATAATACTGTACTGTATGGGAATGTTTCAGGTGGAGAAGCTGTTGTGGTCAGTCTCTCCTGGAGGAGGGAACACAGATACAGCTGGGCACACTGGGCACAGTTGCAGAATGTCAGGAATAACAGGAAATGAGACTCTATCTAGTCCAGCAGCAACAGTTATGCTGCAATGTGGTGTGTGAGATCATCGATTGCTTTTGGAGGTTTCCATCCAGCTTATGTATGCCATCAAGGTTCACAGCTTTGGGCAGTGGAGATCCTCCATTGAAAAAATAACTAAGATGGAAAGCTAAATGAAGCAGCACTTTGATTCATGGAAGAGCTGCATGCTGACATACAAAGATGCATAATCTAATACATATCTGGACTTCCCAATGGTGGTATTCATTTATTGATGTTCTATCAAAAGCTAATTGGCCCAGTACTTCCATCCTTCAAATAGCTGTTTGCATAAAATAAAAGATGCCATGTTGTTGCTGCCGCACTCAGTACATAAATATACACACGTGGTCACAGACCACAAGAATGTCACTGATTAGCAGCATGTTAATTTTGTTTTATTCATTCAGAGGATGAGGGCGTTGCTGGCTCGGACAGCATTTATTGTCCATGCAAGAGGGCAGTTAAAAGTCAACCACGTTGCTGTGGGTCTGGAGTCAAATGTAGACCAGACCAGTAAGAATGGCAGTTTCTTTCGCTAAAGGCCATTCAAGAAGCAGATTGGTTTTTTTTCCTGACAATTGACGATGGTTTCACGGCCATCATTAGATTCTTAAATCCAGATTTTTATTGAGCTCAAATTCCACCATCTCCTGTGGCAGGTTTCAAACCCAAGTCCCCAGGACTGTACCTGGGTTTCTGGATTAACAGACCAGCGATAATATTACTAGATCATTGCCTCCCATTAAAAGACGGCCTTTTATTCTTATGAAACCATAGCACTCATGATAAGGACCTAGACAGCCCCTGCAAGAAACCTGGGGTGGAGATGTATGTGGCAAAACTATTACACACAAAAAGCATGCTGTCAATTCATATTGAAGGTGAAAATTCATGGTGAAAGTGATATAAGTGCATTTTAGCAGTGAAGTATGTCTAATTGGCTAATATAGTACTTTTCCAAGGAAGCTCAGAATTTTCAAACTCAAAGATTTGGTCACATTCACAGCTACCAGCAGAGCGAACCCAATCACTATCTTAACTGGAGATCATATTGGAGGAGAGGGCATTATTCCTCAATAAGTGCAATTGACTAAGGCAGATTCCCTCTGGATAGGTGTGTCTAGTGTCAGCTTGTTTCAATGTTAGCACTTTCATCAGTTTGAAGACTGTGGATTTTAGCACCACTCCAGGACTTGAGCATGCTGGACCGAGTGAAAGCTGCCTCATCAGAGGCACTATTCAAGAGATGAGACAATAAACCATGGTCCAAGTTTCCTCTCAGACAAATATATAAGATTCCACAGCACTATTCAAAGAGGAATGGGGGAGTTCTTCTTCAGTTCATACCTCAACTGATACCACCAAATGCAGATTAAGATATAATTTATATCATGCTGATTGTTGGACCTTTTTGTGCACATATTGAAGTTTGTTAGCAAGCATGTTGGCAAAGCATTGACTGCACTTCAAAAGTACTGAAAAGACTGCAAAGTTCTTTGGATCATCATAGGATGACTCAAATGAAATTATTTGATGAAATAATAAATGAATAATTTGGCATGTGGTAACTGTAGCATTCTTGAGAGGTAAAAGGTGACTTTGATACCCAAAAGTATTAACCACTGTGGTTTTCTTAATAAAATCAAATTCTCCATTTCCTCCTACAAAATAATCAAAATCTGATCTTATGGATTTTGGTTACTACAACTAAAATTGAAAAACTCAGAGACCAGAGATAGAAAATACATGGTTAATTTAAAAATATCATACAAAAGATAAGGAAAAATAAATGCAAAAAATAGTGCCAGAAAAAAAATAACAGAAGCACAAGTCCAAGACTCTAATCTGCAGTTGCACATTTTGAACACGGACACTTGTCTTTTTAGGACATAAGTTGATGGTGTAGCATGTATATTTCCTGTATTACTCATTTTAAAAGGACACAATGTATGTACTTCATAATACCACTGAAAAATGCAGGAAATTTTATCTGCGCACTATCAAAATATTTCTCAAAATACTTTTATGTAAGAGGCCTCTAAACAATTATCTGCTTGTGAAATAGTGGGCAGGAATAGTTGCACAAATGTAAAGCCTAAGTACTTAATATCCAGCCATTTTCATGCCTATGCTACTGGTTTGGTGCTGGCAGAAAACTACATTCACATTTTAAACTTAACATCGCAGGAGGTTTTTCAAATGCATTTACCTAAAATTCTCCCATGTTCATCCCGCTTGACTCGCATTTCTTTCTCCTCTTCCCTCCAAAGATGTAGTAGAAGACTAGCTGCTGTAGAATCATGTTTTCCACGCCATACATTTATGTGAGAAGTTGTTTTTGGGTTGTCACATAACTCAAGTAGGGTTCCAAGTATCAAACCATGCATGCGCTTTGAGCTTGCCTTTGCAAGAAGATAAAAGTTCCACTTGAAATAGTTCAAATGAATACATTTTTAAGATCAAATTAGCAGAGGTTACAAATGAAGAATTCTTGCAAATAAAGACCTCCAAATTATAATATTTCTTTTTGTCTCGCTGATATTATCATTCAACCTCAAATTCTATGGCACAAATCCACAATTCTGACAATACTAAGAATGAGCAACATTAAAGTAAGGAATTGGAAATGCCAATATATACATTAATTGTCTCTTCATATTTCTCGTGTATGGAGTTGACTGTTAATCCTCCTTGGTCAAGTCTTGTCAAATTATATTTATAAAACACCTTTGATGCTGAAAAAAAGTTGAAAAGGGCTTCACAGAAATATGATAATGCCTTCTGAGATACAAAGAAATTCTTATTGTGTACCTTCCTTCCCAAGAATGTCCAGAGCACATCTTAATTATGGTTACTTACAATTGTTGGAAACAAACAATAAAATGCTGCTCCATATCTAATTACTGTCGTTACAGTGATAACCATGATGCACTGATCTTCTGAAAAGATAGAGAAGGGGGAGAAAAGGAAGGTGAAGTGATAGCACTAATTGGGGAAGACATAGCACTGTTTGAAACAGAGAATGTCCTGGAGGGAAAATGCCAGAATCCATTTAGTGAGAATTGAGAACCAAGAAAGATGTGATTACCTTATTTGCTTATTCTAGACCTCCAAATAGTAGCAGAGAAAAATGAGCAAATCTGCAGGAAAATCGCAGAGGTGTGGAAAAAGTGTTGTGGTTAGAAGAGTTCATTATCCAAATATCAACTGTGATGACAACAGAATAAGGAAAAAGGGGTGTGGGTGGGGGGAGGAATTCCTGAAATGTGTTCAAGAGAATTTCATTGACCAGTATGCTTTCAGGCTAACAAATTTCTCAAATGTTACTGGTGGAATTTGAGCTCAAAAATTTTGGATTCATAGCTCAGTAACCTGACTACCACATTATCTATATTTTTAATGCTTACTTCAAGCAAATCTAATAGAAGAAAAATGCCTCCCATTTCAAGGAAGCTGTCTTCGGCTGTGTAGCACCCAACAATGCAGCACCTGTAATAAAACATAAAAGACTTAAATTTAACTTTTGCATTATTGCTTTATCTGCTGGATGACCAGGAAGTAAACATGTACAAATATATTCATCCCACTGCCACTTCCATTCTGGGAAAATATATCTTAATTTATATCAAGTTATATGACTCCATTTCAAAAGTATTTCTTTGGTTGTAAAGTGCATTTGCAGATCTTGAGGGTGTGAAAGATGCTGCATGAACCCGAGGCTTTTTTTGTTTATGTAATTATTTTCCCTGCCACTCAATTTTGTATTAGAAGTTGCAAAGACAGTGAAAATGCCAGCTCTGACTGCTAACAACAGGTTGCTGATGTAAAATGCCTATTTCTTCAATCATGTCAATTGCTACTTATGCCCATTATATTCTACAACATTGTATGCTATAAAATTATTTTAGTTGCTTGCATCTTTTGTTCTTAAGACAGTGATTCATACTACTGTATGGCAGATTTCAGTGATACCTTGCTCTTTGCGGTCAAACCAGAAGAGTGCTTTAACTAAAATAACCACCTCAGCCAACTTAGCAATTGTCGCTATCTTGTCCTTGTTTGCGATAATAATCCAAAATATTTGAAATCTCCATGATAATTGCATGGCAAAACTTTTGCATGAGTAATACCAGAATGCTGATCTACTGAAGAATGCATCTAAGCAACTTTGGCAAGCCTGAGATTAGTTGAAACTGCTCCCATCTCCTTATTTGTAGCAAGTACAGGTCATTGGACCCAAATCATTAACTCTAATATGTCTAAACAAATGCTGCCAGACATGCTGACATTTTCTAGAAGTTTCTGTTTTTGTTTCAGATTTCCAGCATTCACAGTTTTTTAACCTCAACTCACCTCAGACTTCCTGACCTGACATCCCCCACCCCTAGGCCTGACACTTCCACAATGCCATCAACCCAACAACCCCCAACCTGTGCTCATCTCTAGATCTCATCCTGCCACCAACTGTCCCACAATCTTGATATCCCATCTTCAACCTGTCCTGACAACTCTAACCAGGCATCCCCATCCCCAGAACTGTGAGTGGTAGCTTCCACAGCAGGAACGCCATGGAGAGAATTCGTATTGGAACCCCATGGATAAAGCAAGTGCTGGTTGAACAAGTGTGCATTTGTGTGTGTGTGTGTGTCTGTGTGTCTGTGTGTTTCTGTGTGTGTGTGCGTGCATGCATGTGTGGGGTGTTCACTGATACCAGTGTTGACCACACGATAAGGCTCCTGTCTGTCTATGTGCACACTTTCTGGGCCTCCATTGGCTTCCAGATGGGAAACCTTCCTTGAACCTTCCTACCCTGAACTTAAATCATGGGGTGTTATTCCCACCCAATTAAATAGGAGCTTGACCATCCAGTGTGCCTCTTTGGGGAGAATTTAATTTTGCCCTTTGTGTAACCCAGAATCTGCTTTCCTATGTTTCTTCGCATTGTCAGAAATTTTCACTAGAATTCACACTGTTCCTTTATCCAACTTATTAATAGTAAATTAGTGATAGATAGTAAGAAATAGTTGAGGCCTCAGCACTGATACCTGAGGTATTGCAATATTTACAGTTTGTCAACCTTAAAAAGATCAATATGCAGTATCTTACATGTTTTGGCTAATGCAAGTTGTGTTGAGTTTGGTGGAGTGAAATTCACCATGAAACTTACCAAACTTGCCACTTAATACTCTAGTTGCCGTGGCAATCCAGTGGCAAGTATCACTTTGTATCTTCATTCCATCTTACCATGAATTGTTCCAAGTTGTCACCGTTCACTGGACATCTGCTATAAGACCAGCATCCCTTGCAGCCACACTATGTTCAAGAGCTCAAAGTGTACCTGGAGGAGCACTGGCATCTGCCCTGCTCTTAACCAGTGACTAGACAGAGATAGCTGACAAGGACAAGTTGGCACTGAGGTTCTCCAACAGGAACATGGAGGTCTGAGAATCACAGAAGCCTACAGTGCAGAAAGAGGCCATTCAGCCCTTTGAGTCTGCATCAACCCTATGAGGAACACCCAACCCAGGGCACCCCCCAACACTACCCCATCCCCCTACCCCTGCATTTACCACAGATACTCCACCTAGCCTGCACATCACTGGACACTATGGGGCAATTTAGCATGGTCAATCTACCTAACCTGCTCAACTTTGGATTGTGGGAGGAAACTGGAACACCTGGAAGAAATCCACTCAAACAAGGGGAGAACTCCACACAGACAGCAACACATGGATGGAATCAAAACTGGGTCCCTAGTGCTGTGCAGCAGCAGTGCTAACCACTGGGCCACCATGTTACCCTGGTTGATGGAGTGATGCATAGGAGGGTAGTCATCTTCTGGAGGGCTGACAGAGAATGTTGTGCCGCTACATGTTATCTGCCTGGTCAGCGATTGCCACATGGGTCAGTGCCCTGTCCAGAGTGCAGAGGACCAGGCAAGAGTGCTAGAAGAAGGTCAATAACCTTCTCTGTGCCACCAGGGTAAGTGCTACACTTGCTCTCTACTAACTCAAACCTCACTCTATTTTTGCTACAGTATTCATCTGCCATCAAGGCTTCTTTTCTGTTGCATGCAATATCTTGCCTCACTCACGCTCCTTCTCTTCCCATCTTACCACACCATTAGCACTGAATCCCCTGCCTTGTCACTCCCTCAGAACACCTCAACCACTTCCCCTCAAACACACCAGCACGTGTCAGCCCCATTCACCCACTTAATGTCATTACAGGAAAAGATATCACATCAGGGCAGAGTGACAATGACCCAGTATGCAGAGAGAGGAAGAAGTCCCTTGACATGTCTAACCCACTTGGGCAAAAATGTTCTGGGGTCACCCCACCAAATCTTCAGGATCAATGGACGACTGCACAGCAGGGTCCCTCCACCTTCATCTGCACAACAGGGGAGCTCAGTGAGGCACAGTGGGAGGGAGAGGAGAAGAAAGGTTTTGTGATCACATATGGGAGCTCACAGCTGACACTTATCTACAAAGTTTGAGTTTGTGAGAAAGTATGTTTTTGACCATTCATGTGGCTGCCCATGTCTCTGTGTAGGGTCTAAATGCTTCATTGAGCCTTTGGGTGCACTCCTTACTCCCCATGGATGTGGTATGGTGGAGGTATACAATGAGTGCAAACTACATCATGTGGGAGTAGATTTAACAATGTGTATACATGTATTGGCTCACTCTGACAAGTTAGGCCCTTTTCCATCAGCACTGCTCATGTTTCAGCTGACTGTGTCTATTTCAGGCAGTTCCCCAGTAGTGATGGTGCCAGGAAGGTTCAACACACAGTGAAGGTCAATGCTGCGCAGTGGCCAAGTAGCAGACTGCCCGAATGCCTGTGTACTCAATATCTCAAGTGTATGAAGTCAATGTCCTTCCCCGGTGAATGTCCAGTGACCAGTTGTAGATGCAACTTCATGCCTCATATCTCAGCTCACTTACCCCTCCCAGTGTGTGAGCGCGTTTGAAGCCATCCCCCTGGACATTGTGCAATTTCTGTGTGCTTCACGATTTAACTGACAGTGAATAGTCTTCTGCTTTTGGCTTTCATTCTCAGCATTAACATGCTGTTGAGACCCCAACATCACCCTCTTCCCCCCCCTCAAGGTACTCATTCACCCAATCCACAGGCATTACACTTGCCCAGGTCATCATCCAATCCAGGTAAATGCACCTACATCTGCCTCACTACCCCCACCGAATCCCCATCCTCTCTTTCTCCTTCTATGATTGATGGCAAAGGGACAACTGTGGCTTACTCCCTTGGTGACTTCACTGGCTAGCCCGGGCCAATACCTGCACAGACCTGACTGGTGGCCTCATGCATTTTGGATTGTGGCCAATTTCCCTGCAACCTTAAGCCTGGCCCCTACAGAGACAAGAGGCTGACCTTACCTGCACCTTGAAGCACAAATGCACAGGCTCATTCTGATGTGATGTTTGACCATGACAGAAGCCTAGGACTGGCATAGATAGCGGCCCTTGACTAACTGTTCTGGACCCCTTGACTGATGGATGCCTCCATGGAGTTGGGTATGGAATTCTCCCTGAAGACTTTCAGATATGTCCCACTGCTTGCAGCAGATGCAATTGTATGTCATGAATGTAGTTGCCATGTGGGGCAGGTGGTAACCTGATGTTGCCCACTGATATATGAGAAGAGGTGGGTGACTTTGGCTGAGCATGGCTTGGCCACCTGCTTGACTGTGTAACGGCAGTAATTGTAAGTGCAAGGGGAAGGGCAAGTCTTGTATGTTGCAGGCAAACTGCTGGACACCACGTGAATCTGTGCTGGAACAGCAAGGGAGCAGCCCTGGTGGGCAGCCTGATGCAACTGTGATCTGGGTACCTTTCCCTATGCAGTTACTGTATCTGATGCAGCTGTAGCCTGCTGGTTGCTGGTGTGACACACTTCACATGCGTGAGACTGTAGGGTGTAATATCAGGGCATTGCATAGATGCCAGAATGATGACAATGCCTCCTTGAAAGCTGGGTGCCAATGTCCTTGGTGAAAAGGTACATGTCACACGTTTATGGGTCTTATGCTTATGCCATGCTCTGCATTGGGCTGTGGGCAACTTGGAAGTCATTTGGAGAAAGCAGTGAGCTGAACCAGACAGGTACCTGCTCTGATTTCCATGATGAGTTTTCCTGAGGCTACTTTGTGTAATAATTTTGGTAAAATTACAACACATGGTGATTTGGGCTGTTAACAAGCCATTTATCTAGCAACAAAGAGTGTCAATTGGGAGCTTGCAAATCTCTAGCAAGAATCTTACCATTTTGCTTGAGCAAAGGGGAAAGGTTGCAGCAATATGATCTCGACATTAAGATGACCATCTCATCCAATTGTGTGACACATTTCATAATAGCCCACTTCATTCAGTTTAGTACAAGGTTCTGCTCCTTTACTCATTTATTCGAGTTCTCCGTTTCCTGTCGTGTAGCTATGTCCTCTTTCCATGTTAACATATTATCACCAAAACCATGAGTTCTTTTCTAATACAGTAAATTTTTAGGGGGCATTTAACTGAATAATTTTGAGAAATCCAAATTATTTCATCTACTCGTTGCCCTTTAACCACACTGCATGCTACAGCTTCAAAGAACTGCCTCAAAGAAGGGCACAACTGGTTATTAAATATTCTTGGATACAAGGTATTTAACAAACATAGGAAAGAGGGAGGCAAGGGAATATTGATTAAGGATGACAGAAAGGAAAACATTGCAGCACTGGAGAGAGATGGTGTTCCAATAGGTAAGGGACAGAATCTGTTTGACCAGAGCTAATAAAGGTTCAAAGTTGGAGCACTACATAGGCCACCAACTGGTGGGAAAGATGTACAGGAACGAATTTGTAAAAACATTATAGAGAAATACAAAGGGAGACTTTATCCGAATGTAGACTGAGATACCACTAAAAGAGTGGGGCAATAGTTGCTAGAGTATATTCAGGAGAATATTCCACAGCAGTATATTTCCAGTCCAACAACGGAATGGGCACTGCTAAACCTGTTTCTTAGGAATGAGGTGGGCCAAGTGGAACAAGTATTAGTCAGAGAACACTTAGGGGGTTGTGTTCATTTTATCATAGTCAAGGAGTAAAGGTGTGAAAATAATTAACTGCAGAAAAGCCAACTTCGAGGGGTAAGAATAGATCTGATTCAGATAAACTGGAATCAAGGGTTGAAAGCCAACACTGTAAATGAACAATGTAAGCAAGAAAGTCTTTAAAGAAGAGATAGTTCAGACAGAGTAAAGGTATATTTTCACATAGGTGAAAGGCAAAGTAATTAAATTCAGAGCTCCATGGTTCAAAAAATAGATGGACATTAAGATGAAGAATAAAAATGCATTTATGATGGCTGTCAGGTGGATACAGGGTCCAACAGAGAATTAAACTGAATGGAGAAGGTTCAGAGAAGGATTAAATAAGTGAAGCAAAGAGTGAGTTTGAGAACAGATGTACACTTAAAGTTGATAATTCACCAGGATCAGATTCAATCAAAGGATATTATGGGATGAGGAAGTGAAAATTTTGGAGACATTGGCCATAATTTTCCAGTCTTCCATACATTCAAGGATGATGTCAGGGGACTAGGGAATTGCACTTATTCAAAAAAGGTGCGAAGCTATGCCCAACAACTACATACCAGTCAGTTTAACTTAAGTGTTAAGGAAACTTCCAGAACCAATAATTTCTAAGAAAGTTAATAGTCTCTTGGGCAAATGCAGGTTAGTTAATGAAAGCTAGCATGGATATATTAAAGGTAAATTGTGTTCAACTAATGTGCTTATGCTTTTATCAGACAGGGTTGATGAGGGTAACGCTATTAATGAGTTGTACTTATAGTTCCAAAAGACATTTGATGAAGTTCCATAGAATTGATTTATGGGCAAAATTAGAGTCATGCAATAAAAGGAACAGTATTTGTCAATTGGGAAGACATAAGGCAGATGCAATTTAATACAGAAAAATGTGAGATGATTCAATTTGTTGAAAGATTGGGGAGGGCAATAGAAAATAAAGCATACAATTCTAAAAGAGGCACAAGGAGCAGAAGGGACCTGGAATATATAAGCATAACAGATTTAAGATCACAGGACTGGTTGACAGAGTGGTAAATACAGCATAACACATGTTAAGTTTCATTAATAAGGGCACAGGGTACAGAAGTAAGAATGTTATATCAAACATCTAAAATATGTTAAACTTGTTCATTCTAAACCGACATTCCTTCTAATCTCTCCGGCCACTGCGTGGACCACCCTTGCTGTGACAGGGCTGCCAGGCAGCTTAGAGGGAATGAATTGTGGCGAGTTTGCGAAAATTTAAATCTTTATTAAGGATGTCAAGGCAATAGAACGAGTGAAGAAAAGATTTATAAGAATGGTTTCAGAAATGAGGAATTTATGTTACATCGCTCAATTAGAGAAGCTGAGACTGCTTTCCTTGTTCAGATGTCACACGACACCAGGTTACAGTCCAACAGGATTATTTGAAATCACAAGCTTTCGGAGCGCTGCTCCTTCGTCAGGTGAAGTGACGGAGCAGCAGTGCTCCGAAAGCTTGTGATTTCAAATAATCCTGTTGGCCTATAACCTGGTGTCATGTGACTTCTGACCTTGTCCACCCTAATCCAAACACCGGCACCTCCACATCATGCTTTCCTTGGAGAAAAGAAGGTTGAACGAAGATTTGATAAAGTCGAGGGCTCTGGACAGAATTCATAGGAAGAACCATTCCCATTAATGGAAGGATTAAGAACTAGAGTAAACAGTTTAAGGCAGTTAGCAAAAAATACTTTGCAAGTTGTTTGGATCTGGAATATGTCGCTTGAGAGTTTGATGGAGGAAGTTCAATCAAGACGAACTGGATTATTATCTGAAGAGGAGGAATGTATAGGGCTATGGGGAGAAAGTAGAGGATTGACTTTTGTTGAATTGCCCTGTCAGAGAGACAGCACGGATATGATGGCCTAAATAGTCTCCTTTTATTCAGGAACCATTTTGTGATTCTGTAATAAATTTGCCAAAATAATTTTTTTTTCATAATAGAATGTTGATGCTGCTTGAAGTATCATGCTTTATAAACTATCCTGCTACTACTTCCTTAATGGTATGGAACTGGCTATTTTTGTCTCTCTGATTAAGGCTGTAAAGAATTGAGCAAGTGAGTAGATAAAGAAGATTAAAGGAAATCAACCTGAAATATTAATCCTGCGGTCAGATATTACGCGTAGTTTTGGCAGGGGGCATGTAAATTAGGATGAGTGCCCCACCCACCACCTTCCCACTCACCCTGAGGTAATTCCCAAATAAGCTAGACGGGCACTGAAATCAGTAACATGGCCACTATATGTAATGGATAATTCTGAGTCAATTGAGCTTGCTAAAAGCTCAACTGACTCTAATATTAGTCTGTCCATGCTATAATATGGTCATTGTGGGCAGGCAGGCAGGAGTGGGCAGCTTGTTTTTTTAAAGCTTTAAATTGGTGGGCAGTAAGTGGAGTACTCTGTTTTGAAGCTGCTTTTTGCACATCAGGGGCAATGGCCTCCCCTGCCCAAAGTTCCCTGATTTAACTGGATCTGGGATTGTGTTAGGCCTCCTTGGTGGGCCTATCAGTTTCTGAGGGTGGGACCTACTACCACTGAGGGGCAGAAATGCTGCTGTGTACTAATTTAGTCCGCCTGAAGTGCATTATGAACACAGGGGAGGCTTGTTCTTGGTCATCTGACTTGCTGCTAAGTTTTCATTTTTGTTCGGGGTGAGGGGGATGTGCGAGCCTTCTGCGCTCCACCATAAAATCTGCCTCTTTTTCTCTCTACAGATATTACTAAAATTTCCTGAGCATTTCCAACATTTTTTGCTTATATTTTATTAAGATACCCGTTTTATTCTTGGTTCAGGCAAGCTTAGCTTATTTCAGCTGGACAACTAATGTGCTATAATTGACAGCAGCATCCCATCACTTCAGTTCAATGTCTTCCATGGGAAATGTGTGTTTTGAGGATAGAGTAAGATCAGAAGTAAACCTTTCTAGTACAACAGTCTTTTGCCAGTTACTGGCCTTAGAATAGACACTACCCGTGGAACTGAATCTGAACAAAAAAGTTAATGTCTTCAGGTTAAGGGGATGAAAGACATAAGTGAAAACATTATCGGGAAAAGTGGGAAGGAAAGCAGTTAGCAGTGGAGAGATTAAAGCTGATCTTAATGGGGTTAATTAACAAAGACATGATTATTGTTTCAGTCCTAAAATGAGGTAACAATTAAAAACAATTATTTATATTTAAAAGTTCTCAAATTAGATGGTCATGAATTTTAAAGCTTGCCTGGATGGGTGCAGCTCCAAAAACACTCAAAAAGCTTGAAACTATCCAGGACAAAGCAGCCTACTGATTGGCACCACATCCACAAGCATCCACTTCCACCACCATCAACGCTCAGTAGCAACAGTGTGTACTTACTGCAAGATGCACTGCAGAAATTCACCAAAGATTCTTAGACAGCACCTTTCACATTGACAACAACTTCTATTTAGGACAAGGGCAGCAGGTACATGGAACACCAGTGCCCGCAAGTTCCCCTTCAAGCTATTCACCATCGTGATTTGGAAACATATCACTGGTCCTTCACTGCTGCTGGGTCAAAATCCTGGAACTCCCTCCCTAACTACATTTTTGACCAATATATAGCATGTATACTGCAGTGGTTCAAGAGGCAGGTCACTAACACCTTCTCTAGGGCAACTAGGGACAGGCAATAAATGCTGGCCAGCCAGCAAATCCACATCCCATGAATAATAAAAAAAATTGTCCTCTGAAATTGCTTTGCACTCACAGCATAGATATATTGTTGATGCAGGCTTTTAGTCATTAAATAAAACAAGCCCCATGCACTATACTGATTACACCACAATGTGAAGGTACAAAAACATTAAAAGGTAAAACACAGCTAATAATGTGAGATTTCATAATATGTTTACATATAACACAATAACAGTGTAACTTATACCCTTATAAAATATCTTATAAAAACATAATATTATGTTACTTTGTGAATACATTAAGTAAACTATGTTAAATTTGTACAGTTCTGCGTTTATTCCACGGTGAAAAACAAAACAGCTACTGAGAGAACAGCAACTGAAAACATTTATTGCAGCATTATAACAAAGAACTTACCAGATACAGTCTACGGTTGCCAGTATAAGCTTGTTGTGACCCTTGCCACTATAGAACTTGTTTGGGTCAATCTTTAATAGATTGGCCAGAATATCTACTCCGAAGGCACCAAAAAGCTCCTAATACATAACAAAAGAAAGCACTGAAGTTATTTTGTATTAACAGCAAATTAACTTATTGCACATGCGAGAAATCTGAAATAAGAATGAGAAAAGTGCTAGACGTTCTTTTTAAATCAGGAAGCTATTATAAGAAAGAAACAGGCTATTTCAGGTCTAATGAGATAATAAGAACTGCCGATCCTGGAGTCAGAGATAACACAGTGTGGAGCTGGAGGAACACAGCAGGCCAGGCAGCATCAGAGGAGCAGGAAAGTTGACGTTTCAGGTCGGGACCCTTCTTTAGAAATAGGGGAGGGGGTCATAGTCATGGAACTAATCATATCTTATAAACAATGTCCCAGACATCACAATTCCTGGATTTGTCCTGTCCTCAATATTAACTCCGGACACACGAAGTCTCATGGCATCAAGTCAAACATGGGTAAGGAAACATCTTGCCAATTATCACGTACCATCTTCCCACGGGTAATGATTCAGTGCTCCTTAATGTTGAACGACACTTGAGAGTGGAATATTCCAATGTCCACCACAAACTGTAGCTTGGCATCAGTACTAGTGATCAAGCTGGTCGAGTTCTGAATGACATGTTCAAGACCACATGGGTGTCAACTGTATAAGCAGCAAGTGATAAACAATGTGCAGGGCTGGATGAACACAGCAGGCCAAGCAGCATCATAGGAGCAGAGAGGCTGACGTTTCGGGCCTAGAACCTTCATCAGAAAAGGGGGAGGGGAAGGGGGTTCTGAGATAAATAGGGAGAGAGTGGGAGGCGGATAGAAGATGGATAGAGGAGAGGATAGGTGGAGAGGAAACAAACAGGTCGGAGAGGCGGGGATGGGGCCAGTAAAGGTGAGTGTAGGTGGGGAGTTAGGGAGGGGATAGGTCAGTCCAGGGAGGACGGACAGGTCAAGGGGGCGGGATGAGGTTAGTCGGGAGGAGATGGAGGTGCGGCTTGAGGTGGGAGGAGGGGATAGGTTAGGGACTGGTTTTGGGACGCGGTAGGGGGAGGGGAGGGGAGATTTTGATACTTGTGAAATCCACATTGGTACCATTGGGCTGCAGGGTTCCCAAGCGCAATATGAGTTGCTGTTCCTGCAACCTTCGGGTGGCATCGTTGTGGCACTGCAGGAGGCCCAGGATGGACATGTCGTCTGAGGAATGGGAGGGGGAGTTGAAATGGTTCGCGACTGGGAGGTGCAGTTGTTTATTGCGAACCGAGCATAGGTGTTCTCAAAGCGGTCCCCGAGCCTCCGCTTGGTTTCCCCGATGTAGAGGAAGGCACACCGGGTACAGCGGATGCAGTATACCACATTGGCAGATGTGCAGGTGAACATCTGCTTGATGTGGAAAGTCTTCTTGGGGCCTGGGATGGGGGTGAGGGAGGAGGTATGGGGGCAGGTGTAGCACTTCCTGCAGTGCAGGGAAAAGTGCCGGGTGTGGTGGAGCTGGAGGGGAGTGTGGAGCGGACAAGGGAGTCACGGAGAGAGTGGTCCCTCCGGAAAGGGTGGGGAGGGAAAGATGTCTTTGGTGGTGGGGTCGGATTGCAGATGGCGGAAGTGTCAGAGGATGATGTGTTGGATCCGGAGGTTGGTGGGGTGGTACGTGAGGACGAGGGGGATTCTTTTTTGGTTGTTATTGCGTGGACGGGGTGTGAGGGATGAGTTGCGGGAGATGTGGGAGACACGGTTGAGGGCGTTCTCGACCACTGAGGGGGGGAAGTTACGGTCCTTGAAAAACGAGGACAACTGAGATGTACGGGAGTGGAATGCCTCATCCTGGGAGCAGATGCGGCGGAGGCAAAGGAATTGGGAATAGGGGATGGCATTTTTGCAGGAAGGTGGGTGGGAGGAGGAGTATTCTAGGTATTCTAGGATTTCACAAGTTTCTAAATCTCCCCTCCCCCTACCGCATCCCAAAACCAGTCCAGCTCGTCCCCGCCTCCCTAACCTGTTCTTCCTCCCACCTATCCCCTCCTCCCACCTCAAGCCGCACCTCCATCTCCTACCGACCCACCTCATCCCGCCCCCTTGACCTGTCCGTCCTCCCTGGACTGACCTATCCCCTCCCTAACTCCCCACCTACACTCACCTTTACTGGCCCCATCCCCGCCTCTCCGACCTGTTTGTTTCCTCTCCACCTATCCTCTCCTCTATCCATCTTCTATCCGCCTCCCACTTTCTCCCTATTTATCTCAGAACCCCCTTCCCCTCCCCCTTTTCTGATGAAGGTTCTAGGCCCGAAAAGTCAGCCTCTCTGCTCCTATGATGCTGCTTGGCCTGCTGTGTTCATCCAGCCCTGCATCTTGTTGTCTCGGATTCACCAGCATCTGCAGTTCCTACTATATCAAGTGATAAACAATGCTAAGTGTTGCCACAACCAATGGATCAGATCTATGCTCTGCAATCCTGCCACATCCAGTTGTGAATGGTGGTGGACATTTAAACAACTCACTGGAGGAGGAGACTCCACAAATGATGGGAGACCCCAGCATATTAATGCAAAAGGCAAGGCTGAAGCAAAAGTGCCGAGCGGTTGATAAATCTCTGCCTCTTCCAGGTGGTCTAAGCATGACAGATGCAAGTCTTCAGCCAAATTCGACTAACTCCTCATGATATCAAGAAATAGCTGCAGGCACTGGACATTGCAAATGCTTTAGATACTGTCAACAGTCTGGCAATAGCACTGAAAATGTGTTCCAGAACTTGCAGCACCCCTAACTAAGCTGTTCCAGTAAAGCTACAACATCAACAACTACCTGGCAATATGGAAACTTACTCAGGTGTGTCCTGTGCACAAAGATCAGGACAAATCCAACCCGGTCAATTACTGCCCCATCAGTCTACTCTCGATCATTATTAAAGTGATGGAAGATGTTATCAACAGTGCTTCAAGCAGCACCTGCTCAGCAATAACCTGCTCAGTGATGCCCAGTTTGGGTTCTGCCAAGGCCACTTAGCTCCTGACTTCATTACCACCTAGTTCAAACAATAGACAAAGGAGCTAAATTCCAGAGGTGAGGTGAGAGTGACAGCCCTTGACATCAAGGTCGCATTTGATTGACTGTGGCATAAAGGAGACCTTGCAAAAGTGGAGTCAGTGGCAATTGGGAAAATTCTCCAATGGCTGGAGTTACACCTCGCACACAGGAAGATTGTCATGGTTGTTGGAAGTCAGTCACCTCAGCCCCAGGATATGTCTGCAGGAGTTCCTAAACCTAACCACCTTCAGCTTCTTCATCAATGACCTTCCCTCCATCATAGGTTCAGAACTGGAATGTTTGCTGATGGAATGTTCAGCACCATTCATGGCTCCTCAGACACTGAAGCAGTCATGTTCAATTGCAGCAAAATCTGGATAATATGCCAGGCTGACAAATGGCAAGTATCGTACATACCACACAAACGCCAGGTAATGACCATCTCCAATAAGAGACAATCTAATCACTGCCCCTTGACATCGAATGATGGTACCATTACTGAATCCTCCACCATCTATATCCTGGGGGTTACCATTGACAAGGAATTGAACTGGACTCACCATATAATTACAACAAGAGCAAGTCAGATGCTAGGAACTGCAACAAGTAATTCACTTCCTGACTCCCCACAGCCTGTCCACCATCAGTAGGGCTCAGGAGTGTGATGGAATACTCCCCACTTGCCTGGATGAGTGCAGCTCCAACAACACTCAAAAAGCTTGACACCATCCAGGACAAAGCAGCCTGCTTGATTGGCACTACATCCACAAACATTCAGTTACTCCAGCACCACCATTAACGTTTCAGTCACTCTAGCACAACACTCAGTAGCAGCAATGTCTACAATCTACTGGATGCACTGCAAAAATTTGCCAAAGCCACTTACACAGCACCTTTCAAATTGACAACCACTATCATTTAGAAGGACAAGGGCAGCAGATACAGGGGAACAACACCAGCTGCAAGTTCTCCTCCAAACCAATGACCATCCTGACTTTGAAACATATAATCATTTCTTCACTGCTGTTGAGTCTAAATTCTGGAGTTCCTTTCCTAAAAGCATTGTGAGTCTACGCACTGCACATGGACAGCAGCTGTTCATGAAGGCAGCTCACTACCACCTTCCCAATGGCAACAAGGGATGGGTACTAAATGCTGGCCCATGAGTAAGGAAAAAATGTACATAGCAAAGTACAAAGAAGATCACAAGTGTTTATTCTGGTACATTAAAATAGCATAATATTTTCACAATATTAGAGCTAGTGTCAAAATAAGAAATATTAGGATAATAGAAATGTTAATCCTGGCAGGGAGTTAGACATAGGAAGTAGGAGCAGAAGTAGGCCATTTGCCTCAACAAGTCTGCTCCATCCTTCAATGGGATCATGGCTGACACGATAATTTCAAACTTCACTTTGCTACCTTATCCCATAACCCTTTGAATCCCTTACTGATTAAAATTCTGTCTATTGCAGCCTTGGATATATTTAAAGTAGTTTAACCCAGCCTCAAGAGCTTTCTGAGGTAAAGAATTCCACAGATTCACCACCCTCTGAGAGAAAACAAATTCTCCTTTCTTACTTAAGTAATCGATTGCTTACTCTAAGATGATGTCCTCTGGTCCTAGACTCTCCCACAAGGGGAAACAACTTCTCTGCATCTACCCTGTCAAGCCCACTAAAAATATTACATTTTCAATAAAGTTACCTCCCATTCTTTTAAATTCCAATGAGGACAGGTTCAGCCTCCTTAACCTCTCCTCATAAGGCAATCAATCTCTCTATGCCCAGAATCAACCCAGCGAACCTTCTCTGTACTGCCTCCAATGCCGGTATATCCTTCCTTAGATAAGGGGATCAAAACTGTTTACAGTATTCCAGGTATGATCCAATTAGTGCCTTCTGCACAATTATTGCTGTCTACTCAATGTATTTTAGCTGTGGCATAATATACTGTTAGCTCCAATGCAACAAACAGAATTGATATCATAATCCATAATCCAACAATATGAAGTCAGGCATTGCAGCCTCAATTTGAATCTATGCCTCTCCATTCTTTAGTTTAATAGTCAAAGTGGCAGTTAGTATATACTGGGAAGAGGCACAACATATTTTTAAAAGATAACGATAGACAACTTACCTCTTATTCAGAGGTATGTATGTGACACCGAGCACAGTGTAGACACATTTGAGCCCAGTATGCTATTTTGCCAAACCAGTCACAGCTGAGTTGCATTGATTAGCATTTACTCACCTTTCTATGAATATCATTTTCACATATGCTGGATAAGATGATGAGGATGTCAGTTTGCACATCCAAATTAATCTTTGTTTCTTTCTCTGAGCTGTTTATCATGATTTTCAGAATATCTATCAAATATGAATTGAGCATCATATCACTCAGATGACAAAAAGTACCTTAAAAAACCTTTTAAGAAAAGCACAGTGGGGATTTAGAGTCATAAAATCATAGAGATCTACAGCACAGAAAAAGGCCCCGTGGTCTGTAACAACTGCCTAAATCTGAGAAACAAACTGAGGTAAAATAAACAACTGTGGATGGTGGAAATCTGAAACAAAAACAGAAATTGCTGGCGAAACTCAGCAGGCCTGCAGCATCTGGGAAGAAAGCAGAGTTAACCTTTCGAGTCTGATGATTCTTCATCAGAACAAAATGAGATACTTTTTATTCAGGAAGAAATTTGATCCAAAGGTGACAATGATGTGCTCCATTACTTCAACTTATTCTGCCTAAATCATAGAATCATAGAATGGTTATTGCACAGAAGAAGACCAGTTAGCCTACTGTTTCCATGCCGGTTCTCTGGGAAAGCAACTCATCTAGCCTGACTCAACAGCCTTTTCCCTATTGCTCTGTAATTTCTTTTAGTTTCAGATAATTATCCAACTCTATTTTGAAGGCCTTGATTGAATCAACGTCTGCCTTCCTTTCAGCTAAATAATGTCAGATCCTAACTGCAAGATGTTTAACATTGTTTCTCCTCCAATTAACTTTGTTTCTTTTGCCAATCACCTTAATGTGGTTCTTGATCCTAAACAAAAGTAATGATTTATTAAACACCGGCACCGTTACCTTATCTCGGTAATTAGAAAATAAACTCTTCTATATAGATTTTAACAAAACAATGACGAACAGACTAATATAGGCAGTGTCTGAAAAATGAACATTTTTAGAGTCAGTGAACACAAATAGTCACAAAGATCCAGAAATTCTGATGGGGAGATGTTGTTGCATCAGCATAAACTAGAATTGTGAATCAGGACTATGCAAAATCCTGATGTAGCTGACTCTATAGGAATTGCTTGGGCAATTGGAATTTCCTTTGAGATGCTATCCTATATCTGGAACTCACTGAAAGAATTGCTTAGAATTGGGGATTTCTTGGGATTCCAAACCACTGTAGCTAATGGTTGCTGAGGAAAGGTAAAAGATTAAAAAAGCATCCTCTGACAACACAACATCCCCAGTCCCCGACCCAATCCAGCCAGACCAGAAATCCCCTGACTGACACAAAACTGCCACCAAACCGCACTCCCTAACAAATTGACACCCCATCCACTTAACCAACCGCATGGATCCAACAGTTCCAATCTCTCGCTGACTTGACCTGACACTGCTGGACTTGGCCTCACCCCTCAACCTGCCTTAAACATGCATCAACTTACTTGGCTCCTTAGATCCCTCACCCACCAAGCACCCTACATCTTTCACCCACTTGGTACCCTACCCCATCACCCAACTGACATCGTATCACATCAACCACCTGGCACACTACTACCCTCAGCTAACTGACACCCTACTCTATGCCAACAGCCACCTGGCACCCTACACCATTCACCCACGTGGCACCTTGCCCCTTACAAAACCCAGCAACATAGTCCCACATTCATCTGGCACCCTACATTCTCTCACCTCCCTGGCACCATATATCCTTTCTCACCTGGCACCTTACTCATCTAATCCCCTCTTCCAATTGCCACCCAACCTCACACGAACTTACACACTTAGCTTCTCTCAGTAGCTTTCAAAATTTCTACAGGATCTTTAAACTAGTTCAGGCACCAAGGTAATGTTCCGGGGACCCAGTTTCAAAGCCCACCACGGCAAAAGGTAGAATTTGAATTCAATGAAAAAAATCCGTAATTAAGAGTCTGATGATAATTATTATGAAACCATTGTCAATAGGCAGAAAAACCCATCTAGTTCATGAATGTCCCATAGGGAAGGAAACTGGTATCCTTACCTGGTCTGGAATCCATGAAACTCCTGACTCAAAGCAATGTGTTTGACTCTTCACTGCCCTCCAGGATGGGCAATAAATGCTGGCCTAGCCAGTGACACCCTTATCCTCTGAATGAATCTAAAAGTGCTAAAAGCGGGGACAGTGTGCTCTCTTGAATTATTCTCAGCTGCTTTGGAAGAGAAGGCCCTGGTCAGGAAATTCCAGGGAAGGACTCATCCGAGATTAGATCTGATTGTTTCTCCTATCAGGATTGAAATTAGGGCTTCCAATCTTGATCAGAAAGCCTGGGCCATAATTTGTAAAATGAGCTGTGAAAAGTGGCTGTGCACAATGTTCAATACCATTAATGATTCTTGAGATACAGAATCATCTGTGCCTGCATGCAATAGGCCTGGATAACATTCAACTTTGGGCTGAGAAGTGCCAAGTATTATTGGCATCTCCGAGGTGTCAAGCAATGACAATCTCTAATAAAACATAATCTAACCAATCTAGCTATCTCTCCTTGATATTCAATGTTATCGGCATCACTGAACACTCCCACTACCAACACACTGAGGGTTTCCATTTTCTAGAAATTTTAATAGAACCTTGCATATGAACACTCTGGTTACAATAGCAAATCAGAAGCTGGGAGGTCTGTGGTGAGTAATTAACCTTGCCATTCCCTAATGCCCGTCTATCATTCTCAATGTCAGGAGTGTAATGGAATACTCTTAATTTGCCTGGATGAGTGCAATTCCAACAACACTCAAGAAGGTCAACACCATCCAGTGCAAAGTGGCCCACTAATCATCATCTCTATCCATTAGTTTAAGCAATTACTCCCTCCATAGATGGTGAACAGCAATAGCAGTGTGTACCATCTGCAAGATACACTACAGCAACTCATAAGCCTCCTTTGACAGTACCCTCCAAAACAATGACTTCCAAAATCTGGAAAGACAAGGGCAGCAGGCCCATAGGAGCAACACTACCGACAAGCCTCCCTTCAATTCACACACTTGCCTGACTTGGAGCTATGTCATCATTCCTTTGCCGTTGCTGGATCAAAAAATCTGGAACTTTAACACTAACCATAGGTGTGACTCACCAACTGGCTGGGAGTAGTTCGTGAAGACAGCTCATCACCACCTTCTCAAAGGTGATTTGGCTTGGGCAATAAATGTTGGCCCTTGTGGCAATACTCTTATTCAGGAAATTTCTTTTTTAAAAAACTGTCGCTGCTTTAAGATTTATCAACGATTGTAACGCTAAATTATGTTCATGTGAACTTTCAAACTACTAAATTTCTATGACATGTCACATGCTCTGTGAATTTCTTGAATCAATTAACATGACGTATAGTGTCCTCCACAGAAGGATAATTTTATTATTCTATTGAGCGAATCTGAATATCCTTCCATACCTTTTTCCTTAGCGAGTATGTGAACGTTATTGTTACTTCCTTTTTTTCTATATTCCCCTTGCCTATAATACCAGTTATCTTTAGGTTATTTACATTTCTGCATTTTTACCAATATCATTTATTAACTAGGATTTCCATAATGCACTCATTATGTCCCCGTCCAGCTTCTCCAATGAAACTTCGTGCTTCCTGGTCTGTACTAGCGAATGCAAGTCATGTGTCATCTTTCAAGTGCACTTGAGAGCACTGGAACACTACTCTCTAAAATAAATAAACATTGGAGGGACTATACTTGATGATATGGTATTGTTTCATGACCAGGAAGGCCTAATTTATACTTCTATTTCTGCTGAGTCAGTTAATCACAGCTACACTTCTTGTAGAACAGATGTAGTACTCGAACAGATCTCTGTAAACCCTGAAATGGGAAGGGAAAAGTCAACCAGGATTTTAACTCCAAATTACTGGAGCCCTTTCCTATGAAGTACACAAGTTTGAGATTGAGTGAGAACAGCATCAACTTCAAATGTGATGTCGTCAAAGTCAAACTGCCAATTTACTTTTATGATTTGAGTTCATTTAAGATTGGATGTTTGAATTAGGTACATGAATGTTTTTAAAACATTTAAAGCCATTCTCTAGCTTAATTTTAGGAGAACAGTGGAAAAAAAGGGGAGAACGAAAATATATATGGTGCCTTTCATATCCTTAGAACATCTAAAAACACTTCATGACAAGTACAATCACCATAATTTTGTAGACAAATGCACCTGCCAATTTATATGCAATAATGTATCATACAACATATTAGATTAATGGCAATTAGTATATTTTGCTGCATGATATTAGTTGAATGTTAAATACTGGCCAGGACACCTCACAAATGCTCTCCAACTTATTTGTAATTCTATATTTAAATTTACTATTAGGTTAGAATTGAATTGCAAATGCACTTTACCTAGAAGTTGAGAAATAATTCCTTGGTCGAGCAAATTCTGGTTTATCAACTCTTCACCAAGGGATGCCATAGATCTTAGGAGTCTTAGACAGTAGCACATTTGAGCTTTCTTACTGCCACGGCCACCAGCAGCATGGAATGAATTCCCTTTACCATAATATGGATCTGGGAGGGGAACAAATTGTGTGACTAATGCATATATCTGTTAATCTGAATAACTAAGTTGATCTGAGGTTCAAGTTTGTGGAAAGGGAAAAATGTAAACTGCACAAGGTTTTTAATGTTCATGCTATATCCCATCAGAAACATGCTCTACAAATGGAATAGGCATAATTTTATACTGCATTCACACTCAAAATCTGTCCATGTCAAATGAGTTAAATCATAGTTCAACATATCTATGGTCCCTTATCATTGAAGCATACTGATCATCAAAGCTTCCATATTAATATTTTCCCATTTCATGCAGAAAATTTTAAATTTAGTGAGACTTAAAAGTACTTACCTTGACTTACGCACCAATCCAACAGAAGCAGAAGACGGGTATTTCCTTGGCATTTCATGTAATCATCCACCATGACTGGAGCCACTGAGATCAAAGTAGCCAAGGCATGAAGCTGAAGCTCTTCATACTGGGCAGGAGACCAATCCCGAATTCCAGGATTCTCATTTGGTTGAACGTAATGAAACAGGGCCAGTAAGGCTCCTCCTTCACTAAGCAGCTATGGAGCAAAATGTAGAAAGACAAATTCTAAATTTAGATCACTCTCACTATAAATCAGATCAAACAGTGATAAACGAACCTCCTACCTGCTGAAGCTCTCCCTCAACTGATGATTAATGTTTTTCTACATTGAATACCACTTGGAAAAGGCACCAAGGGTTGCCAGTGCACATATGTACTCTTGATGTGGAACGTTAATGTCTATCATCAAGACCGGCTCGGTCAATCTGATCGAGACCTGGAGGACCTATCTCTCAACCTGGACTTATGACAGTGGTGAAAGAATCAGCCTGATTTGATCTCATTCTCACTAATCTACCGGTTGCAAATTCATCTGTCTGACTGGTAGGAAAAGCCACTGACCAGCCTCTGCATGGATGAAGTCAAGTCTTTATATTGAGGTTGCTGTCCATTGCACTGTGTGACAATAATCAGAGGTTAGGTATTTTAGAGTAAATAACTCACCGCCTGATTTCCAAAAACCTGTCTGTTGTTTATAAGGCGCAAACGGAATGGTGATGGTATACTTCCAACTTGCCTGGATATGTCCTGTTCGAAAAACCCTGAAGACACACCTTCCTTGACTAAACTGACAACCTTAAACATTCATTTACCTCTATCACTAGCACACCACTGACAACATTTTTAATTTTCAAATATCACTTGCACTCACTATCACTTGTAGCAACTCACCAAGTCTCCTTCAACAACACTTTCTAAATCCACAAACTCTACCATCTGGTACAAGTGCAGTAGGCTCATACTACCACCTGTAAGTTTCCCTACAAGTCACACGTGTCCCTGACTTGGGAATATAATGTCATTCCTTCCCCATCCCTGGGTCACACCTCTCCTAATAGTGCTGTGGGACTGCCTATGCACATGGTCTGCAATGGTTCAAGCAGGCAGCTCATCAGCACTTTCTCAAGCCCAGTTAGGGATAGACCATAAATGTTGGCCTTATCAGTGATGTCCAAATCCCATGCATAAAGAAAGTAAAACATCTTTGTTATGAGTTGAAAACCAAAATTATCAAAGAATTTAATTTTATAGTTGCTGCTATTTATGAGCTTTGTAAATAGCATTTACTCCAGAGTCATCAACAACTTATGTTTTCAGTACATTTACTTGTCACTTATACATATAAAGTTTTTACCTGTACAGAAGCAAGATCATTTGTCAAAGCAACAAGCAAGTTGAAGAATATTTTTTTCATTTCAAAGTCTTCATGATTGCTGGAAATTTTAAGGCCCTGAACCAATGGGTTATGGCTCTTCACTAAACAAGAAAGGAAAGGAAACAAAACAAATGTGAGAAATTTGCATGAATATAACACATTACCAATCCTCAGTGACCCAAATAACTTTGCATTTAACAGATTATTGTGCAGGCCTCAGCAACTAATTACACAAAGCAAGGTACCACATAGCTGGTACAGGATCAGTTTTTAGTTGGTGTAACTTAGGGGAGGAATGCCTTTCACAAGAATGGTTAAGAGTATGCATATTCCGCAGCAAGTGACTCACCTCCTGATTCCCCAAAACTTTATCATCACCTACAAGGCACAAGTCAGAATGACATACGCATTCTCTCCATTACCTCAATGAGCTATTGCACTATCAAGGTCATAGCAGCTGCTTGATTCGCACGCCCTCCACTTCAGCAACTCACCAAGGCTTCTTTGAGAGTGTATCCCAAACCTACAACTTTTACCACCTCAAAGGACATAGGACGTAGGAGATGGGAACACTACCAAATGCAAATTCCATTCCAAGTCACAACCCACCTTGAAATATATCACTGTTACCATCATCATTGTTTTATTCATCATGTGACAAGGGCAGAGAGTTGGGTGTGAGAAATGCAATGCATGGTCAGGAGCATGGTGGGTGTTTGAAGCCTGGGTGTCTGATGGTACAAAGGCGATGGTGAATGTGAGGGCTTCAACCTGTAAAAGAATTAAATTACTCATCTCTCTGGAGGTCCTTGAGCCTCTTAGAGCAGGTTTGAGTAACCACTGACAACAAAAACAGAGGTTGCTAGAAAAGCTCAGCAAGTCTGGCAGCATCTGTGAAGAAAAATCAGAGTTAATGTTTCGGTTCCGGTGACCCTTCCTCAAAACTGGAGCTCCCCAGAATTCTGATTTTTTTTTTCACAGATGCTGCCAGACTTGCTGAGCTTTTCGAGCAACTTCTGTTTTTGATCTTGATTTACAGCATCCGCAGTTCTTTCAGCTTTTATCGAGTAACCTCTCTCCTGCTATTCAAATCCCTAGCATTTTATCACGCCTGCTTTGGTTGAAAAGACTGGATTCTTCTTCCCACTCTGGGAAAACCTCATTTCAATCCCTTCGGTCTCACAGAAGAACAGTCAGTTATGTATCCAAGACCTTTGGGGGCGGCTGAAGTGTGGGGACGGTTGTGGGCATGGTAGGGAGATTCCAACAAGTCTCCTTTCCAATCTTCAGTTCCTAAAGCTACAGACATCATTTACAGCTGAGTGATTGTAAAACCTGTTCTGGCCGCTTGAATTGGAAGTCTCTCCTTTGAGAACTATGGCAAAGCTGCTTCACTGACAATTAAATTTTTGATCAATTAGTGGCTATCTAACTGTGTGAGGGTCTATTTAGATAAAATCCAGTCCATTAACTCTACTACACTCTCTACAGACACAGCCTGGCCTGTCAAGCATTTTTAGTGTATTGTTTTTTGTTTTGGGTGGCTACTTGCCCCATATCTTTTTCTTCTTCGTGTCATATAAATTTCTAACTCATCTTCCTTGAGATCTGAAGAGGTTTCTGGCACCTGCCTTTTTGATACTATGAGTAATGGAGATAGTGGCAATTGAACCAAAATAATACACTTGATATAAAATAAACCTTGATGCCCTCCTGTTCTTTCATATTTAATTTAATAACCTGTTCAAGCAGGAAACATCAACCTTGCCAGAATACAGAGTTAAGTAGGAATTTAATTTGTTAAGAGGAGGTAGGAAGTCTACAAGGGGATATTGTCAGGTCATGTGAGTGGGCAAAAACATTGTAGTGAGTAAATGTGAACTTGTCCACTTTGGCAGGAATCGGGAATCAATATACTATTTAAATGGAGAGATATTGCACAACTTCGTGATTCAGAATGATATAGAGATCTTGGTACATGAATCACAGAAGGATTGTATGCAGGTATAGCAAATAGCAAGTGATTGGGAAGGCAAATAGAGTGTTGTCATTACTTGCAAGGGTATTATAATGTATATCATAATATTAAAGTAGTTAGGTTTTACTGCAGTAGATAGGTGTTGTTGAGACCACATCTGGATTAATGTGGACAGTTTGGTCTCCTTATTTGAAAATATACACAATTGCATTGGAAGCAGTTCAGAGACGGGTCACTTAATTCATTCATGGAATCAACTTCCGATCTTACGAAGAAAGGTTTGACAGATTAGGCCTATAACCACTTTGTTTATTAAAATGAGAAGTGCCCTATTGAAACATATAAGATTTTGAAGGGATTGGATAGCAGAAGGATGGTTCTTCTCATGGGAGAAACTAAAGAATAAGAGTCTTTCATTTAAGAAAGAGATGATGAGATTTTTTTTCAAAAGGGTCATTAGAATGTGGAATTGTTTTCCCCATAAGGTAATGGAGGCTGAAATTTTTAAGTTTATTCCAGGCTGAGCTGAATTTTTGATAGTCAAAAGGTGTCAAGGGTTATGAGGTGCAGACAAAAAAGTGAAGCTGAGACTACAACTAGATTAACCGTGATCTTAGTGAATGGAGGAACAGGCTCAAAAGGATGGCCTACTCCTGTTATTGTTTTTATATCCCACAAATACTTCTGAAATTGAGGCCGTCCTGGAAACAGCCTCTAACAAGGAATCCTAATAAAGGAAAGTAGTAGTTTTGTATTTTCACATATATTAAACAAGAAATATTTAGAGACACTGGGCTGGATTTTCATCTTTGAATCAGTGTGAGTTGAACAAGTGCACAGCTTGGTCCAGCTACCTCAGGAGAAAGCGCCCTCAAAGATGGGATTTTCATCACTGAGGGCGGGTGTAAGCTATAGTCAGGCCAGACAACCTGGGAAAGAGTTCAGGGACAGGTACAAGGGCTTAATAGGGCTGCCTCGGTGCTTTAGGATATTGTCCTAGACATAATCCTTCATACATTCACGGGATGAAGGCATTGCTGGCTAGGCAAGCATTTATTGTCTATCCCTAATTGCCCAGAGGGCATTTATGAGTCAAGCACATTGCTGTGGGTCTGGAATCACACATAGGTCAGACCAGGTAAGGATGTCAGTTTCCTTCCCTAAAGGACATTAGTGAACCACATGGGTTTTTCCAACAATTGGCAACAGTTTCATGGTCATCATTAGACTCTTGAAAGACTAAGGCCCTGTAGCACTCATCAATCACTTCCTTCACACCCACAAACTCTCCATGCCACATCAATGTCACCTCACATCCCCTCCACCTTTTTCCCATGGCCCCTCTGCATGCCATGCTATATCCCTCCACCCACCCACCATGGCTCCTCATGCCAAGCTACGGCATTCCATGCCCATTTAATCACTATACATGATATAGAACCAATAAAACCTATACTGACAATAGAGCGAATAAAAATGAGCTTTAAACGCAATCATTAACTGTTAAGTTTCCACTTCCTTAAAACTATCATTTTGCAACAGGCCAATAAAAGAGTTAACTATCCAAAACTTTTAAAGTAACAATAGCAGACGTTGCAAGCACATGAAATCTCTTTATTTGTGTAAATAAACATTGTGCAGTTTCCAGAAGAGATCAGAGGCACAGAGCAATCACTCAAGGAATGCTTTACCTGACATCTAGTTGTTTTAACAATTTAAGAGGTGCCTGGGCTTTCAGACAAGAATGCATAATGAGACACAGTTGGCTAATGGGTGTCACGTTTTTCATTATAACTGGGAGAAAAGTTAAGCAGCACCAAGGTACAACTCTGGTATACACTATAATGTATAGTAGGTAAATGGAAGTGGAAATGCCATAGCTTGACATTGAGGATATGAAGGACCATAGGAGGTGAGCGCAGGGTGATGCAAACCTTGATATGGTGATTATAGGTAAAATCTTTTGAACTTAACTTTCAAAAGGTTCCCTCATCCTGACTGAGCTTCACAATACATTTGAAGTGCAAGGAATTCTTTGAAAAGCAGCCCAACTCCATGAAAGCTGCAGATGCTCAGGGACCTATTCTAAATATGGAGTCAGCCAGATTGCAGGTTTGTGTACCCTTTAAAGGTTCTGGTGAAAATTGGAAGGTCTGGGAATGGGGTTGTGATCCCAGATTTTGGTCCTAACTTCCAAATTCACCCCTCCACACAGTCTCCACAAAAATAAAAATCCAGCCCAATAGAAGATGTTTAAATACATTAAGGAAATACATGGAAAAATAAATATACCTGAATTTTCCATTCTTTTCGTGACAATTGGGTTGCGGGTTTGTTTGTTAATGGAGGCAACAAATACTGGAGCAAGTACCAAATTTCAAAATGACAAATCAACAATTGAAATATTCAAATATTTCCCAAATTTCTAATGTAAATCTAGTTGACTTACTATTTTCCACACGATGTTATTAAACTATGGACATAAAAACAATAGAGGATAAAGCATCAGCCAGGTGAAACTGGATTTCCACTAATAGAAAATTCTTACCTTCAGGAAATACAGCAAACATTATCAGTAGCTTAGTAAAGCCTGTTTCCTATGGGACAAAGAAACTTTTAGAAAGCTTCCAAGCAAACCATTTCCCAAATCATTTTATTCCAAAAGTTTGATATTATTAACAAAATAATACACCTAAATAACAATTGTATCACTGAATATATCACAGAATGTACTTCAAGTAAGTTAAGAAATATTTAAATTGTCTGTTCATTAGTACAAAAGAGTATGTACATGAGTTTCAAATGTCAGTGTTTGAATTTCAGAATACAACTTACAATCAATGGAATCATAGGATGCTCCGCTAGATTTGTAGTTATTACTAGCAAATCATTTCGCAGCTGGCGGTCGGAATTACTATGACCATTTACCATTTGGTTCAAAAAGGCTTCTTTCATAGCACTAAAGATGAAAAGAACAAAATTAATATTATTTTAATATATTGTATACAAAACAAGATGATCTTTTATAACATGCAGCAAAATAAATCCCCAGTGATAGACCTGGTTATATACTGCATATAGAGGCACCAGCTGTCCATTCTTTCCATCAGGAAACAGAACATCTTATTTGCACTGTTAAAATGTTAGCAAACAGCCTGTGTAACTCTCACCAGACAGTATCAAGCAATGGGAGTTCTGTTTATTTCTTCAACCAGCGTAAACCCACAGTAAACCATCACTTGTTAAAGTATAAAATAAAAGCAAAATACAAAAGATGCTGGAAATCTGAAATAGAAAAAGAAAGTGCTAGAAAAAATTCAGCAGATCTAGCAGAATCTGTGGAGAGACAAACTGTTAAAATTTCAAGTCAAGTATGACTCTTCTTCGGAAATGAAGGGAGGTAGTCTTGTTAAACCATAGCAGTTTAAGTGACCATCAGATTGTGAGAACACAGTTTGCCAAACATTCCAAATCTCTTCAAGATTTTTTGTGCTTCCAGTAACTAACAAATTAATTTTGTCAGGCATTTAGTAGGACTGTAGTGTTTCCTGTTACAGAAGTGAGCGCATGAACATGTAAGGTACCAAAGATCCAAATATGTTAGTATTTTGTTAATTCCTTCTAATGTTTATCCTATGATCTGCTTTGACATAACTCTTGGAGATTTTCATAATAGAGTACTTTGAAATTTAAACAAACACATCAAAATCAAATAAAATTATACTTCAGCTAACATCAGGAAATAGTACTTGAATAACTGCTTTGGTTTGTGTAATTACTTGAAAATACTCACTAGATACATTCAAAATCACTCAGCTGTTTAACAAGTTCCTGTTTAGAGGCCTGTTCGAGTAAGTTCCATAGGACGTCAGACAAACAAAACAAAAGTTGGCCAGATGGATCTGGATCATTCAGGATGCGGCAGATTTTATTTGCTGCCAGTGCATTCAACATCAAGTTACAGTTCATAGCTGGAATCAGACAGACAAGTCAAATGCTACAGTAAATACATCAGTGACGTTATAGTTAAGATTGGCAACTAGCCTTGACAAGATCTTTAATCATAGATAAGGTATGCAACTTCACATGCACTCAATGCAAAAAATTACTTGGGGCTGAATCTTCCCAAAATTTGGCTAAGTGTCAATTTTGGGAACCTTCATAGAGTGTTTACCTTCCTGAGCCCTGCTAAACTTTTCTCATGCAGTTTTATATTGCTCAACACATTGAATATGTGCCATGCCTCCCCAGTGCTGCTCACACACAATCTTACACTCAATAGCAGCAGAAGAGCTCGCTGGTGTTTGGATGTTCTGATTTTCAAGCTGCAGGCTGCATATTTAAACCCCAGTTGCGTATCATTTTAAACATTGCCAACTTGTTGTGAATTAAGCAGCCAGGCCAGTAACAGTGTCCATGGTACGGAGGAATGTGCAGCGATGCCACAAGAAGGGGTTAATTGCCTACTGCGCTCCAGAAGGGTAAATGTCACCACGTTCTCTCTGTTATCTCACACTCTGCCATTGCAACTATCTTCCACCAGTACTTGTGGTCTATCACGCTTAATATTGTGTCCAGTGTCTTCCCTCAGGGGCTGTCATGCAGCCCATCCCCCAAACCACTAACCCTTCCTGACCTGTATTCTTTCTATTCACCCATGTAGGACACCTAACAACCTTTCCTGATTGAAGATGGAACTGCCCATATGACCGACCACAATTCCTTTGATTAAACTTTCAAACATGGCCATTTGGTTGAAGCAAACAAACTGTGTTTTCCATGCAAGCTGTGAGTACATGCTACAGATATGAAAATGACATGAACAGTGCTATACAACAACATGTCCCCCTTCTTGACTGTTGTCAAATATAAAAGGATGTCTGGTTTTCTGTCTGAGCTAAAAGTATCCAAGTATGCACAGAGTGAAGGAGAGTTATGGCAGCAAGCGAAGTGCCTGAAAATGGGGTGGCACGGTGGCTCAGTGGTTAGCACTGCAGCCTCACAGCACAAGGGACCTGGGTTCGATTCCACCCTCAGGCAACTGTCTGTGTGGAATTTGCACATTCTCCCTGTGTCTGTGTGGGGTTCCTCCGGGTACTCCGGTTTCTTCCCACAGTCCAAAGATGTGCAGGCTAGGTGGATTGGCCATGCTAAATCGCCCGTAGTGTTCAGGGAGGTGTAGGTTAGGTGGGTTACAGGGGGATGGGTCTGGGTGGGATGCTCTGAGGTTTGGTGTGGACTTGTTGGGCCGAAGGGCCTGTTTCCACACTGTAGGGATTCTATGATTCTATGATACACCTTATTCTGATGCATGAGATGGATGCCTGTCCCTGTGTGCAAAGCAGCTTGGTAGTAGCACTACAATATCAGGTATCACTGAGCTCTAAAGTGTAATATTGAAGTGCTGAACTGTATTATAAGTTAGTTGGAGATATGACACAATGATGTGTTAAGGCTGGTGCTTAGCCAGTGTCAACTTCCGTGGATGGAAGGTGGAAATAGTGTTTGCCATGGAACGTGACCTGAGATGTTGGGAAATACTGGACAAGGTGGAGGCCTGGAAAAGACACAAATGAACTACAGCAGTTTGACTTTAAAGTTGGAAATTGATGCCATCTGGTTTTTCTCTGGTACTTGAGAAAATAGCAACCTGTAAATGAAGCGATATTATGTGATAATGATGTGAATAAGCCGCTCACTACTCTTGAGTGAGATTGGTCTTGTGTTTCTCTTAAGAACCTAACTTCTTCATTCTTGCCATGTTTTCACAACTATTTCAGCATTGCCCATGTTTTCAGACACTGGGAAATTCTATCTTGATTACTTTTAGCTTTTTGATCTGGTAGGAATAACATGCAGTACAATTCTGCTTCTGTCCCATCATTTAATTATTTTTATTGGCATGGTTAATATATTCACACTTAATTTAATCTCCACAATGAGCTCAATCAATAAATGAAAATCCTGAAAGAATGGTGATCATTAGCCATTTCTTCATTTCTTTTCTTGAATGCCAACTTAGAGCTCTGACCTGTTTTCTGCCTTTGGTTGTTTATCATTCTGTAAAAATGAGTGAAATCTGTCAGTGTGAACTTACTTCAGTTGTTATATCCACACCAGGGACTCTTGTTCAGCAGTATCAAATAAAAGTCAAGTTTCAACATGTGTATCTTGGCACTTGTTCACACTTATATTCGCACAAAATGAGATGCATCTGACTACTGCATGTTTTCAGTATACAATGCCTCAGAAAGTGTTAGTTATCTATTTCAGTACTAAAAACATTGCTGAATGGATGCATGCCTCAAACAGTCCTGAAACTCATATTAGGTTAACAGACCTTAAAGCTATCCAGAACTCTAAAAACAAGGAACTCTCTGGATGTAGCAGATTTTGGAACAGTTAGAGATGATTGTGCAGAAAGATGAGTGGAAGTGGCACAAGAGATGCGTGAGTATGCTCCAAGTTCTTCAAAACAGGATGGGGGCCTTAGAGCAGGAGGCAGACAGAAGGCCAGGAAACCTTCCAGATAGACACTAAGAATATGTTGGGTGGAGGTAACTGTTATAGAGGTCGAGCCACAAGGACCCAGATGCAGCATCCAGAAATATACAATGACGTCCACAAGTGGTCTAGCTTTCATAGCTTCACCTCAACTGCACAGAGATTTGCCAACATTGGTGAAAACCTCACATTCACATTTCTGCGTCTGTTCACTATTCAATTACGACAGACACATCAGCCAAACACATTGCACCATATTTACCCAGAATATTTTTCTCTTTCTTGCAGAAGGTGACATATAAACTTTAGAGGCAGCAATACAAAAGAGGTGGAGGAAAGGAATGCTGACTTTTCTCCAACCCTATGGCACAGATAACGCTTGCACCATGTTGATCCAGATTTTCCCAACAGGATTGGAAGATTTACAGTAGCCTATGGTGCATAGGAAATGGGGAGAACAACAATTTCTGTACAATATCAGAGCCCCAATATCTGCTTTCATTTATCCCAGTTATGCAAATGACATTCTTACATAAATAGATCAATGCAATATCTATGATTAATAGTATTGCAAATTAAAATTGCTACAAATATTGCCCAATACATTTCAAAATATATTTTGTGTTAAATACTGTAGATATTTTGCATAGTGGATAACATAGTAAGCATCTTCATTAAAAAGAAATAACAGAAATCAGAAGCTGATATATACTTCAAACAGTTCAGTAAGTACTTACCAGATGAACGTGAAAGACACTGCAGGGTCTGGATTATCCGTAACTTGACTTTTGGTTGATTTCCAACAAGGGTAAGCCCCATGACCAGGGTTTCTACCACAGCGCTCTCTTCAATCATTTGCATATTGTAGCTTTTACTTGTTGGATAATATTCTGAAAAAATTGTGTTAACTAATAATATGTCTGAATCGTAAAACAAATCTTTTTGAAAATAATTTCTTTGCATTCAGTTAAGGTTATGGTAAAATCAAGTAAAATTTGACACTGTAAACAAACTTTTGGAAAAAGTTAAATAAAGCAAAGGCAGTCTGTAATTGTATCAAATACCTTCAATTTCCTGTTTAGGTGATTCTTTGGAATACAGTCTCATGATGGAGTCACAGATTTGTAATCGGACCTCCGCACTGGGTACCCTCAGCAAGTAACCTGTCAGCAAGTTAGTGAGAATTACAATATTGCAAAGCTGTTATTTTCCTTACTTCTAAGTTCAACTTTGATCTCAAATGATTGTGCTTAGTTTCCATATTTTTCCACAACAGGGCAACTTACAATCGATAGGCACCTTTTAGGTTATTGAAAATGCACTAAGAGAATACTGTGGATAGATAGGCTAGTAGCCCAAAAATGTTAATGTTACTAAACTTGTTTATCCACCACAGCAAATAAAGTCAATATTCTAGGCCCGAAGCGTCGGCCTTCCTGCTCCTCTGGTGCTGCTTGGCCTGCTGTGTTCATCCAGCTCTACAACTTGTTATCTCATTGGCATTATAGGCATTAGCCTAAACCTGCAATCTGTCTCCACCAAAATGGAGTTTGTTATCAAAAGTTTCATTCCCTTCAATCCTAAACATAATTTCTTAAACATTCTTGTGTAGGTTTATTCCCTAACTATTTGGGTGTTAAACATCTATTGGGAGAACACATAAATACTACTTTAGTGCAGAATGTCACACAAGTATGGTAGAATGTTAAACTTACTGCTACATGACCACATGAAGAATTGTGAATGGGGTGTGATGAAGGAAGCTAGCAGAGATATGTTTGAGCATAAAAGCAGCATGGACCTGTTGGGATGAATGGCCTATTTCTGTACTATATTTAATTAACAACAGAACTTGTCTAACTTTCTTCCCTGAACTAAATAGATTGAAATTCCAGCACATTTTATAAGGGACATCCATATCTTTCTGTCAGACTTTCCATTCTGTACACCCCACTGAGTAAAAATGAAAATCTGTCCCATGAATTGCACGTTAAAGCCCAAGGTAAAAAGTTCAATTTGTCTATGATCATATTTCTAACATTACTTGTCAAGGAAAGCAAGGAAATTAGCCAAATGGAGGGATGGGGGAGAATCAAACTAATCAATTTTCAGATGTAACTCATATGCACTTTTCTTTGAATTACAGAGTGACAATATTAACTGGCTGTTGCTTTGTTTGGGAAGGTTGCCTGATAACAGAATGATAGTAAGTAGGGAAATCAACATAAAACTGATTTTTTTTGCTGGAGTTGGCATTCAGTTATTTATTCAGATCGGTAACACATGGTGCTGTACGTAAAACAAGTGTTGGCTTTTTATTAGTACAATAATGCGGATTTTTCTGCAGTAAGACCAACAAAATGTTTAGCAAATTTTAAACCATAAAAAATGATGCTGACATACCCATTTGTGAAATAGACTCAGAGACAACTTGGGCAAAGTTAGACTCGTCAGATGACTTCTTCTTTAGAAACGGTAAGCTAATGAAAACAGAAGTAATGCCAGGTCATATTATCTTTAAATATAAAAATCAGATTGCATAAACATCTCTAATATTTTATTAAATAGTTTTTACCTTATAAAGCCTTCAGTAAGGTTATGCATTTATATACATCCATTCCTTTGTTTATTTTTTATGCATTCTTGAAAGTTGAGCATACTGGCAAGGCCAGAATTTGTTGCTCGTTCCTAAGTGACCTTGAGAAGACGGTGGTGAGCCATCGATTTTGAATTGCTGCAGTCCATGTGGATAAAGATGTAAGGAAATGAATTCCAGGAATTTGAACCAGTGACAGCAAAAATGCAGCGATGTATAGTTTCACATCTGGATGGTGTGACCTGGAAGGGAATTTGCTGCTAGAGTTCTAGATCATAAAGTTTGAGTTTGAAAGATGCAGTTGAAGAAATTTTGGCAGCAGTGCTGCCACAGTGCATCAATGGTGAAAGAAGTGAATGTTTAAACTGCTGATTAAAAAGTGGGCTGCTTCATCAGCCGCTCTGATGAAGAGTTATCTAGACTCAAAATTTTGGCTTGCCCACCCTCTCTACGGATGCCGCCTGACCCACTGTCATTTACAGCATTTTTTTGTTTTCAGTATTCCAACAAACTCCTGATTTAGGCCTTGTGGATGATTGGCAAGCTTTGGTGAGTCAAGAGATTCACTACTCACCGTGGAATTCCCTGACTTGAAATTGTTTTACCTACTCCAACCAGAGATCTGGCTACTTTGGATCTGGTGGAATTTAGCATTCAGTCTGACAGGAAGATATTTTAGTCAGAAACAACTGTACTAAACTTAAATAAGGGTAACTTCAAAGGAACAAAGACACAGCTGAGTGGAATGGACTGGTGGGAAAGGAGTTTAGCAGCAAAGTCTATCAAGGAACAATGGCAGACATTTAGGAAAATAGGTTATGGCTCAAAACAAAGATATATTCCAGTGAGAAAGAAAGATTCTAGGAAGGGGATAAACCAATGATAGTTAACCAGTGAAGTTCTGGAGAGCAACACATTCAAAGAAAAAACTTATAATTTGGCAAAGATTAACAGTAAGCCAGAGGATTACCATCGTAGTCAATGGGCTCCATTCTAAATTTCTATATTATTTCAATAGCTCTATCCATATATATTATGTATACCATGGGGAAATATTCTGTTGAAAATTCTCACTTTCATGTTTTCACAATAAGTAATTTCCTCGACAAGTATTAACATTGTTATCTTTATTGCACATTATAAGCTTTAATTTATTTTTTCCTTCATCTTGCTCTCCAGTTGAATGTATTGGCTTTTCAGGCCTTAATACGAGTGTTAGAAATGCCTGTTTCTTGGCTGCTGCCCTTTAGCTTCAAAACATCAAAATTCCCATTGGAGCTTTTATTCTTTGAAGCCCACCTGACCTGTTGTTTTGCTTCAGTGGCTGAACTGAAACTTTGTTTCAACTTTTATTTTTACCATTTTCGGTCAACTGGGGCCTATTCAGTCCCATGTGAATCCATTCCTCGATTTATCTGCAAGTCAGCCTCTGGCATACAGAATGGGACCAAATTATTCATTCCTTTGCACATTATCTTAATACTTGCAAATTTAAGAAAATTCAATCCACCTAAATTGAAAATGTTGAATAGCTTGTTTTAAAACTTTGGCCATTTTTTGTTGTTAAATTCTAAGATTAACATAAAATTTACATACTAGAAGCAATCTGCAATGTTTTAGTTTGTACAATCATTAGTTTGATGGTTGAGGTAGAAGTTACGGATTAATTTTTGAGCAGAGACTTTGGACTATACCTTTAGAATTTGACAGTAGTTCTGTACATCCTTCAGAACTTTTCATTTGGTAATAGGACATGAGGACATTGTGCACTGAAATCCAAGCTCAAATTTGCAAGATGTGCAAAGCAGGATGCTGTGAGCAACAGGCCATAATTTTATCACCAAAAATAAACATCTGAGTCACTAAATCTATTTGAGTGTTTCAATGATGGCAAAAACAATGAAAGACAACCACTTACCCACACAGTTTGAGGATTTCACATATTGGCTGTATGTAGGCATCCTGATCTTTTACTTTTTCTGCACAAAGATTAAGAATTTTAAAGACTTGAACCAAGTCTTTAATCGGCTTTTTACAAAGGGAAGTTAAGGCACTAAACTTCATAATAGTTTAGGAACATAGGATCCATCAAGTTTCCCTTCTTGTCATTACTTGTCATGAAATTACTCGTTATGGTCTACATTACCGAAACAATTTAGAATCCTAAAAACAATCAAATCGCCTTTCAACCATTTCTTTTCCAATGAGTACACTCAGTTTATATAAAAGCTCCTCATAATACAAAAATTCTATCTTTTCACTATGTTGCTTGCTCTTTCAATAGCTCCTTCTTTTACTGGGATGAACAAAACTGTGCAAAAGATTGACATATATTTTCAAATCCCAACTATGTAGCCATTGACCCTCCATTCAATATGACAGTTCTGGGGATATTGATATGCTTAACTAATTGAAGGTGACACTCTAATTTCTATACCATATTATAATCATTACTCTCACTTAATCTGGCTATTCCTTGAGAATGGTCCTCAATTCCACCCCCTTAAGTTCACAGTACAAAGTTTTGGTGGACAACCGGCTAAGCCAATCACTGACAGATCTAGCTGGATCATATAAAGTGTGATTGAATCTTGCTCTTGTCTACTAAATCTGTTCATTATTCCAGGATCATCACAGAATGTGAAGATAATCCCTGACATTTTTCACTAATTCAAACAATCACCTTAGACCACTCCCCTGATCTTTTCTACTCTATCTTCTAAATCAACATTAAGGAGCTCTGGACTCTTTTGTCACTAAGATTGTGACTATCTAATTTGCTGTCATTATCACTTCCCTCTGTATCTCTAACCCATGGGACAAATATCCACGAATGTTCCCACTGCCCTAGTCCTGAACATGGATCATTCTCTCATTTCTCTTCATGTCACCTCATGCCTTCACTGAGTCATTATGTCCTTGAGACCAAATCTTGTTCCTTTGATTCTACGGGCCCGAAACCACTGACCACCCAACTTCTCCTATGACTCCTATAACAGTTAATATTGTAAATGGGTCTCTCTTCTCTAGCAGTCTACCTCCTCTTCCATCCTGCCATTATCAACCTTCTCCTTAATACAAAACCCATTGAAACTCTGTTCCTGCAAACTACCTTTCCATCTCCAACCTCCTTTTCCTCTCCAAAGTTCTTAAACACATTGTGGTCTCTCAAATCTATGCACATCTTTCCTGGAACTGAATGATCCTCTGCAAATAAGTTTCGGCCCTGATACAAACAGAAATGCCATATCACATTATATACGACTGACCAAGATCAACTGTCCAACTTTCATTGTCCTTCCTGACCTGCCTGTAGCCTTTGACATGACAGGCCATACCATCCTCCCCTAATACCTCTCCACCATTGTCCAGCTGGGTAGGACTACCATCACCAGATTTTATTCAAACGTACCCAGCCGTAAACACAAAAGCATACGCAATGACTTTTCTTCTCAGTACTGCAATGTTACCTCTTCATATAGCCCAAAGATCTATAATTTACCCTTTCCTATTTATCATCTACATATTGTCCCTCTATCGCATCATCTGAAAACACCACATCAACGTCCACATGTATGCTGACAACATCTTTTGGAACATCACTACCTGTAAATTCTTCTCCTAGCCACATACCATCCTGAGTTAGAACTTTGTCACCATTCCTTCACCATTGCAAGGGCAAAATTTTAGAACTCACTCCCTAACAGCATTGTGACTGTGCTTACACTATGTACAGAGCAGTGGTTCAAGAAGGCAGCTCACCATCACCTTCCAGCAGGCAATTAGGGATGAACAATAAGTGCTGCATGAATGAATAGAAAAAGATACAGGTTGTCTTCACCATCATCTCTCTTGATCCTTCCACTGTTTCTAAATTGTCACACTATTTGTTCAACCTCAGTTTTGTACGGGCAGGAACATCCTTTAATGAAACATTTGAAGACCTAAAGTGTTGTTTTTGATCTCCAGCACAAACTGTTTTTTAGCCACCAATTCCAAACTACTCTCTGGCAAAGATCTAAGGCTAAATCATTCTGCTCACAATTGTGGTATCAAATGTGACCCCAAAGTAAGCTTCTGGCCACATTTCCATCCATCATTAAGCTTACTCATATCCAGCTAAATAATATTGCTCAACCACAACCCAGCCTCAGCTCATTTTCTACTGAAATCCTCATCCTTTCCTTTGTTAACTTCAGACTTCACTATTTCAACATACTCCTTGCCAGCCTTCTATGCTCTACTCTCTGCAAACTTGAGGCCATCTAAACCTCTGTTGCCTGTAATGCAATTCACACCATGTCTCGTTCACCCAACATAGCTCACTGGCTCTGGTTAACCAATGCATTTGACTTTAAAATTCTCATCTTTATTTTGAAATTCTTCTGTAGCCGTGACCTCTCCATCTCTGTAATTTTCTACTGCTTGTTGACAACCTTCTGAGATATATCCACTCCTCCAACTTTGGACTCTTGAGATCTCCAATTTTAATCACTCCACCATGGCTGACTTTGCATTCAGTTGCCAAATTGGAGGTGCAGTAGGTTGTGGATGTGGAGCACAAAGTTCTGAAGAGATACTGACAAATTAAGTGACCAAGCAAAATTATAGCAACGAAGTTTAAAGTGGGGAAGATGAGGTAATAAATTTTGGATCTTGCACAGATCAGTAAAAGATATTGCAAGAGCTAATCAAAAAGATAAATAGAATGTTGGTCTCTTTTTTTGAGTTTAGAAGTTGGTGTGTGATTGAATCAGAGTATTCAAAATGATAAAAATAGGAAAGCTATTTCTTTTGTGGGGGTAATCCAGAACAAGGGAATACTTTTTTTCAAATCACAACGAGGTCATTTAGGAATGATTCAGGGAACACTTTTTCATAACAAAGATAGTGGAAATATGGAACTCTCCTGCAAAATCCTATGAACCCTGGATCCTTTGGAAACTTTCCAGAATTAAATCGATAGAAGTTCATTAGGTAGGGATACCCCAAAGGTTGATCAGTAGAGTTGAGGTACAGATAGCCAATGATCTGAGTGAATGATGAAACAGAGTCAAGGACTGAACAGCCCGTTCCTATGTAACACAATACTTTAAGCTATACTTAATGCGTACAAAGACAATTAAATGAATTGTCCGTAACAAAAAGGATACAAAACCAAACTGATAATGTTTCACCACCCTCTTCAAAGCATGCAGATGTCTATCAACAAGGTTGCACTGCAGAAGACACAAAGACAGATTTATACATAGAAATGGCCTCAAATACGACGGATGTAACAATATTTGATTAATTAAGAGGTTTCTAAACTCCAGTAAAATTGTCATGCATCATAAAAGGCTCAGTGATACCATTGACTAATTGTTAAATTGAAAAATGAAATTCTTCATCTTAAAATGTAAAGCATATGAGAAAATAACTTGAAGTAAATTAGCATCAGTAACACTTCTAAAATTAAAACAGAAGAAAAACTAAGATTCCACAATGATTCTATGACATATTCAAAAACAAAGTACTATGGATACTGAAAATCTGAAAGGAAAACAGAAAATGCTGGAAATACTCAATATGTCTGTTCAGGGAAACAATTATTTTTTCAGAATGTTCCATCAGAACTGGAAAATATGAGGAATGCAATGGGTTTTGAGCAAGTGAAAGTGGAGGAGTGTGAGAAAAAGAACAAGGAGAAGGTTTGTTATAGGGTGGAAGGTAAGAGAGACTAAATGACATAAGGGGTGGATTTTTCCCTTTTGCTGTGAGGCATGGGTGATGATGAGAAGGTCTGGGAGATACAGCAAGAATGAAAAAAATATATTGAGAAAATATTTTGTGAATTTTCTTTTGGGTTTTTAATAGCAATTTCAGAATCTCACTATTGAATGGTCACCACCTTATGTCAATATATTGTATCTCATTACATGCCCAACTCAATTTATTCATATGCCCCTTCTCCTCTTTGTCCCTGAGAAATTAGATGGTGTAAATTCCCAACATGAAAGTCAGAGTGGGAATGCGGTGGCAGCATTTTGCCACTTGATTGGCTTGGCCATCATTCAATTGTGCATGCAGCACAATGTCCCTGTATGCTCCATGGCTACCTTGACCATCCTCCTTCACCCTTCATTCATGCAAATCATCATTAGCAAATAACCAACCGTACCACATCATCATGGCTGCCTTTGGACAAGCTCTCACACCTCTTCACAGCTGATTTTAGAGCTCACAGACACCTATGACTTACGTGCTTCTGTCAGGTCATGTTGTGCACAAAAACATACACTGAACTGAAATGAATTGAATAATTTATTGTCATGTGTATTCAATTTGAAACACAGTGAAAAGTGTACACCTTTGCTGTACATACATGGCGCCATTCACATTAACTTACAGTAAGATAAGAAAAAAAGATAACTTAAGAGAGTCCAACTTTCCATTTCACTGCCACAGTCCCGCTCCGGGTTTTCCAGCCCACGCCATGCCACCACCAGTGTCCCACTCTGGGCTGCCTCACCGGCCCGGTCTCGGTTGCCTCACAAGCTTGCTCTCGCTGCCGTTGCCTCACTGGCCTAATCTCGCCACTGATGCCTCAATGGCCCGATCTCACTGCTGCTGCTCACCGGCCCGCTCTTGCCGGCCCACTCTTGATTCGCCGCCATCACTCCGGCCCAAGTTTGATCCAGTGTTGCTGCAGGGCACAACCTGAACGTTTAGCTCCCGTCACATGGTTCCCGGTCGCGACCCAGCTCCTTCCTGACTCCTTAGGTAGGTACTTAAAAGGGGTGGTGGGAGGGATAGAATTACTACAGAGGGAGAGAGAAAAAGGGAGAAAGAAAAGAAAGGACAAACAAAGAAAGGGAAAGAGAACTGGCGAGCGGAGTGGAGCTCCAAATGGAGCAACTTACCCTGCTGCCATCTTGCCGGCATCTCATCCATATATACAGGGTGTATTGTATGGTTCTTGGCTTGCTTTCTTAGCTCTCACACACTCTGTCCTTACTTGCAGGCCGCCAACCTCTGTGGCAAGCATATATTTTAGCACAGCAAGACCTTGTCACTGGGGAGCACTGAACAATGAAGGGTAAGGACATGTCACTGAACAACATCGGGCCATGTTAATATCAGACCTACAGCGTGTTCCAGAAGCTTACACAGTGAACATACTGCACCTGCTTTAAGCAAATTGTAATATCTGAAAGTCAAAGTGGACCAATTCTCAGTGGGTTCAAGGAGGACTACAGTCAGTCTGGGGATACTTTCACACTCATTAAAAGGCCTCATTAAGTTCCAATCCAGGGAGTTGGCCATGGTTAGTCAGGCTTTTGGTCCTCCAGAATGCAGAAATCCGTGTCCTTGCAGTCCAGGAATTTGGCCATGTCATCAAGCGCAAGCAGTCTGGGGATTCCAAGTAAGTCAGTCAGGATGCGAAGGAGACATCAGAATGGTGAGGAGGTAGCTTTGTCTGCAATGAGACAAAGAGCGGGATTGAGTATGATGGAAATGCATGGAAAGGTAATTAGTAGTGATGTAGCAGCAGGAGAGGTACATAAGTGTCCTCAGTGAGTGAATATGAAATGCAGAGTGCAGGTAGGGTGGCTACTTCGAGAGGATATAGTGGCTGATTACTGTTCAGTGCACATAATGCATGAAGTACTGAGAGGTTTAGAACTTGATGAGATGTGTGTGTGGTTGCAGAATTAAAGAGTGGTGGTCCTGTGAATGTGAGGTAGCAGAGAGAAGATAGTGGCACATATCCCTGTGGAGCACAGAAGTCACTGATTTTACACCTGCACTGCTGGATGCTCCTTTCAACTTGGGACAGAGTAATGAGCTGGGCTGCTACTTGGCTCCAGGCTGCCTACTTTTGGAAGTATAGCCTTATGTAGTGGTCAGCAGGATAAAGGCATGGCCTGCTCTCTGCCACTCTGTCCACCAGCACTTTGAGGTCTCTGACCATGAATCAGAGTGGAAGCGTTCTTTCCTGGACCATGTCCTCAGTGATAACAGTCGAACATGAGGAACAGTTCCTGGCTTTTAGCTTCTGAAGGAGCGTGCAGATGAGCATTAAATATGGCACTGGCACCCTGAGCATGGCAAGATTCGTGAGTGGCAAGTGCTTCCACCTCTCTTGAAGCACAATTGTGCAAGAAAGCTGCCAAAGAACATGATTACATAATTAATTAGGTAAAAAGTGAGAAAAATCACTGTGAGCCAGCAGTCATGGTGAACTGGGTGTCAAGAATCTTACAATGACAAACCACTTTAACTGAAAACAGCAAATTCAGTCCAATATTTCAATGGGTCGGGATGAAAGGGAGTAGCAAAGTGACAAATAAAACTACAGAAAATGTACCTAAAGAAGGTGTGAATGGCAGGATTCTGAATAGCTGTCATCTTGAGAGTAAAAAAGAGGAAATAAGAAAATAATGAGAGAGAAAATCAATTAGCTAATGAAAGAATGTGAGAGCAGAGGTTATGATCAAAAATTGGTGAACCCAATGTTGAGTCTAGAAGACTGTAAAGTGCTCAGTCAAAAGATGAGGTGCTGCTTTTCCCGTTTGTGTTGAGCTGCCAGGGTCCAAGATCACAAAGATCAGATTTGGAGAAAAATGGAGAGTTAAACTGATATGCTACTGGAAATACAGCATTATGTTTTCAGAGTCAACATAGACCTAACTTGAATTTGGCCTCCTTAACAATGAAACAGTGATTTATTCTTCAGTATATCCCCACGGAGAGACCACAGTGCATTGGATATACTGAAGAATAAATCACTGTTTCATTTAGAAAGAATATTGGGATCCTTGAATGGTGAGAAGAGAGGTAAGGTCAAATGTTGTATCTTCTCCACTTGCATAAATAGGTGTATCAGGAAGGCAAAGGATGGTCGGGATGACTGATGAATAAATAACTGCATTGTGAACGGAACAGTTCTTTCAGGGGTCTAGGCCCGAAACGTCAGCCTTCCTGCTCCTCTGATGCTGCTTGGCCTGCTGTGTTCATCTAGCTCTACACCTTGTTATCTCAGTTCTTTCAGAATGCTGCAATACTGCATTTTGGAAAAGCAAATCAGGGCAGGACTTATACACTTAATGGTAAGGTCCTAGGGAGTGTGTTGGTGAACAAACAGACCTTGGAGTGCAGGTCATAGTTCCTTGAAAGTAGAATCGCAAGTAGACATGATAGTGAAGAAGGCGTTTGGTATGCTTGCCTTTATTTGTCAGTGCATTGAGTATTGGAGTTGGGAGGTCACGTTGCAGCTGCACAGGACATTGGTTTAGACCACTTTTAGAATACTGCATTCAATTCTGGTCTCTCTGCTATAGAAAGTATGTTGTGAAACTTGAAAGGGTTCAGAAAAGGTTTACAAGAATGTGCCAGGGTTGGAGAATTTGAACTATAGGGAGAGGCTGAATAGGCTGGGGCTAGTTTCCTTGGAGCATTGGAGGCTGAAGCGTGGCCTTATAAAAGTTCATAAAATCATGAGGGGCATGGATAGGGTGAATAGCTAAGGCCTTTTCCCCAGGATAATTGAGTCCAAAACTAGAGGGCATGGGTTTAAGCTAAGAGTGGAAAGATTTACAAGGGACCTAAAGGGCAACTTTTTCACTCAGAGGGTGGTGCATGTATGGAATGAGCTGCCAGAAAATGTGATGGAGCCGGGTACAATTACAACATTTAAAAGGCATCTGGATGCGTATATGAATAGGAAAGGTTTTGAGGGATATGGGCCAAATGCTGGCAAATGGGACTAGGTTAATTTAGGATATCTGGTTGGCATGGATGAGTTGGACCAAAGGGTCTGTTTCCATGCTGTACAGCTCCATGACTCTAAAGAGAGAAGAGGGGATGATGCCTTGGTGATGACATCATGCTGGAGGTGGTGGAAATTACACAGTATAATCTATGAATTATTCTATTATATATGGTTTTCAACAATGAATAATTTTGTATGTTTTACAACAAAGGACAATTCAAAATTATATTGAATTCTGACAAAAACCTTGCCCAAAATGGAAACAAAAGCAATAATTCTGTCAATATAAATTAGGACAGTTTGACATCACTGTTGGTTATAAGAATATCTTAATGCTCATTCTTGGGATAAGTTACAATTCTGTGAGATTCAGAAGGATGTGCGGCAGTGGAATAAAAAGTGACACATAACATAATTTCTTAAATAAGGGCTTCATATTCTCACATTCTCAGCTATCAAATGAGT